TAGGGTTTAGGGTAGCTTAGGGTTTTTGTTAATGCAAGGTTTTCGGAAAGGAAGGGGGGCTAGCATCTAAAGTTGCTTACAGGGTTCGCTAGATTCTGCTAGATGTGTATTCTTCTTTTTGTTGTTAGGGGGTTTTGTGTGGTTGATAAGTGTTGAAGGAGTGTCACAAACGAACATGCCGTTCATTTGGGACCTACAAACATCTATAAATCGTAGGAGCTGTTTCTGTGTAAGGAGTTTGGAAACGAGGGGCTTTAATATATAAGGGTTTCTATCAATAAACTCTCATATATCAGGCGACATCGATGTTGAGAATCGTATGTTGTGTTTGCTGTGGTTTTGAATTTCAGGCTTGGGTTTCAGTACAGCGACCTTAGCTTGCACAACTCAAAAGGTTGGAATATTGCAGTGGTATGACGATGTTGTCAGAATATTATCCACTACAACTACGCAGACGTCTATCTTCGGGTTGAGTTGGCATTCCGGGTCGTGCGCGCAGGCGTGGAACACGGATCCGACAGCCCTCCGGCGCTGGCAGCGGGGTCAAACGGGGTTTCCGCTGATCGATGCTGGCATGAGGCAGGTCCTGTTGGGTTGAGCATTGGCCTTAGTTACTATAGGATCCTAAACAACTACCAATGCTATTTTGGGCGCTCTTTTATAACTGTAGTATAAGCTATCCCCAAGCCCTATTCTAATTATTAATGCGTCTACATCATGGACCTAGGGTACCCTATAAGTAAGCGCTCATAACCTACTATTCTCTATGGTGTGGGGTTACAGGTAGAGACTTTGCTGTACGCTGGGTTGCGTGTGGGCCAAATCCCAAAACATAAAGTCAGTTTTAGGGCATATAAACCCTAAACCCTAAACCCTAAACCCTAAACCCTACAGCATCAGGTGAGTGTGGCTCTTGAAGAATGTCTGACCTGGCTGCGTCGAAGCCAACACGGTCTACCCCTCAATGCTGCTACCATGGAGCGACGAGTTTGGGAAGTGATTTGCAGAGAGGCCTCGTCAAGTTCCCCACTGTCGCCACTCGGATACACTGGTTTGACTGAGCCACATGCCGCTCTTCTTCTGCCTGGGTTCCCTCCCACGTTGGATGCATTGGCCGACTCGCTACCAGGAGTTGCTCCTCATACTGCAGTTAGCCTACGTAGGCGAGCATGGCGTGTTCATGTCGACCACCTATACCGGGATGCTGGACGCAATGCCCCCTATGGACGTTGGCCTGCGGAGGACGATCGTGTCCTCTTTCTGGTACAGACCAACAGCGATACGCCCCTGCCAAACTACCCTCAGACCGTGCCTCTACCACAAGACCCACTACGTGATCGTCAATGTGAGGGAGCAGCCAGCCGCCGTCGAGGTAGACGATTTCGTCGCAGACAAGGCTATGGACTGGATTCTGGGTCGATGCGACATGTACTGGCCTCCGACCTGATGTATGGAACGGTGGGTGCAGATCCGTCCTCGTCAACATTGCCACCTTCCTCGCCGTCTTTGCCTTCTTCCTCGACAGCTTCGCGGCCCCCTACCTCGTCGCCTCTGCAGGCCCTGCCCTTGGAGACGCAAGTGTCCCGGGAACGCAGCAGAAGTCGAGATGATGCTGAAGATGAGGTAGTTCCGTCGTCTGTTGCTGATGTGAACTGCGATGAGAGTTCATATGATGCTCCTTGAGTGCTGAGAGTGGTCGTCAAGTATTATTTACCTGCTGCAAGCCGTAAGTGCTTGTCTTATGTTGGGATCTTTGGCTGTACAGTTTGTGTAAGCCTCGACCGAGGCAGGCTTTGCGGAGAAAAGGCCACTACACATTAAAAAAAAAACCCTAAACCCTAAACCCTAAACCCTATACACCCTTCAATTGAAGAAGGGGTCACAACTCACAACCTATGGTTGTTGTTCTCATGTTTGGGGTTGCGAAGTCGGGACTTTGGGGTACGTTCGGTTGAGGAAGGACGCATGCCAGGGTGCGCGGCTGGAGACTCGCCGCACGGAGTTGGAGCATTGTCTCAGATTGTTGGATGCACGGTAAGGGTTTAGGGTTTAGGGTTTAGGGTTTAGGGTTTGGGGTTTAGGTCCATTGGGCCTTAGGCTCAAGTTTCTCTTTGACCTGTTAATGCCCTGTAAGGGTTCCGGGTCGACAAGGTTGTGGGGTTTCGCGGCATGAGCCATCGAGGAACAATGACCTTGACCTTGTCTTGGACCCAGCCCTGAGAAAGGAAACAGAGTACTTTCCGCAACATGATGATGAGCATCATGTTGATCTGTGCTGATGATGTGCCAAGATGATGACGATAACGATGGTGGTGGTATTGGTGATGAGGACGACAACGATCATGACAATGACTTCGGCTCATGTTGTGAACCTTCATGATGGTACGGATCGTGTGGGTGACATTATCGAGGATGTCGACAGCATGGATTCTATGATGATGACGGTCAGGATGATGCTGGTAATGCTAAGGAAGATGATGAACACGATGATGATGATGATTATGATGATGATGATGATGAACAACAAGAAAAGCAATAGTGTATATCCAGATAAAGAGGAGAATGACGAGGTGAATTGACATGGATATGTGGTGATTACGGAGATGATTCTGATGATGAACATGATGATGATGATGATGCTGATGGTGATGGTGATGATGATGATGACGATGCTGACGATGCTGACGATGCTGACGATGTTGATTGTGATGGTCATGGTGATGATGATCGTGATGAGAAAGGTGTCGTTGCTGACGATGCTGGTGAACATGAAAGTGGTGGTGGTGGTGGCGGTGGTGGTGGTGGTGGTGGGGGTGGCGGTGGCGGCGGGGGTGGCGGTGGGGGTGGCGGTGGCGGTGGCGGTGGCGGTGGCGGTGGGGGTGGGGGTGGGGGTGGTCGTGGTCGTGGTCGTGGTCGTGGTCGTGGTCGTGGTCGTGGTCGTGGTCGTGGTCGTGGTCGTGGTCGTGGTCGTGGTGGTTGTGGTGGTGGTGGTGGTGATGATGATTAAAGTGAATATGAATATGAATATGCGGCCGTGGTGAAGGTCATAGTGATGCTGATGGTGCCAGTGGTGATGACGATGACGTTGATGATCGCGGCGATGGCAGTGATGATGATGGTGGTGATGATGATGAAGAGGATGATGATGATGATGATTATGATGATTGTGATGGTTGTGATTATGATGGTTGTCATCCTCGCAAATCATTTCATATGATATCATCTTGCTTTGGTGGGTGAGTTCCGCTCATGGTCCCGAACTAAACCTCAGAGCCTAAACCCTGAACCCCTAAACCCTAAACCCATAAACCCTAAACCCTCAGAGCCCAGACCATGAACCGCAACAATAGCCTTCAAAACCCCAAAATCTGAGCACCTAAGCCTTCAGCATAAGTCTTCAAGACCACAAGTCACTGCCCCCGAAAACCCATGATCCCAAACCTCTATGATCCTATACCCTAAACCCTGAACCCTACACCCTATACCCCGAAACCCCGATAAACAAACATGAAACACCTGCATGCCAGACTCTAAGTTTTGAATGCCCGGGTTTAGGGTTTAGCGTCTAGGGTTTGGGGCTTAGGGCTTAGAAACAAGGACTTCGAACCCCCAGAAGAAGCCCCTAGACCCCAACCGAAGGGAGCTGTGGACGACGGGTTGGATGGCCCAGAATGTGAGGCCATTCGGCCATTGGGTTGTTCCGAGCCCAAAGTTGAATTTGGAGTTTTGTAGTATGGTGTCGTATGTGTATATATGTACATATGGATAGATATAGATATAGATATAGATATAGATATAGATATAGATATCGATATAGATATAGATATATATATATATATATAGATACATATATATATATATACTGATGCGTATATATACATATATATAGTGTATAATATCATACGTAGTAGAATACAAGGGTACAGGGGTAGTGTAGTACGTCAAGTATAGGATACTATCGCATTGTACGGTAGAGTATAGTATAGTACTTCGATTCAGGCTTTCTGGGCACCCTAACCCTAACCTAAATTGTACATACTGTTTGCGTTATGATAGGAACACTAAACTGTTTAGGTTAGTTATAGTTTAATTGGAACCCTGAACCATAAAGCCCCAAAGCACGGATGTGCGGGCAGAGGGGGTCGCATGTTCGAGATCTTCGTGTTTCGGTCTGTCGAGTTCGATGTTGCTTGGTGTGTTTTGTGCAGTGCTCTTGGGTCCTACATGTTATTGCTCTGCACGGTTGGATGCCTTTTTGTTCAAGCTCTTCTGGTATCATGTAGCAGCATGTTCGGAAGCAACCCTAAACCCTGAACATGTGTAAAAACATCGAACCCTGAACCCTAAGCCCCAGTATGTCGCTCTTCACAGGAAGCGGATCTCCCCAAGTATTCTTTGGCCGTGAACCCTGAGGTACAGTCCCAAACTCTACAGTGTTTAAGGTTTAGGGTTTAGGGTTTAGGGTTTAAGGTTTAGGGTTTAAGGTTTAGGGTTTAGGGCTTAGGGTGACCCCAATCCCAAAACAGTTTGAACGGGATTTTGGGGCATGCCATACTACAATTCTAGTGTGGAGCCCGGAGGAATAGTGTGGGTATGTCTTCCGGCCCTTGTACTCATCTCCTTAACCCTGAACCCTGAACACCCCAAACCCTAAATCCCCAAAGCCCTAAACCCTAAACCCCTAAACCCAAAACCCTGAACCCTGAACACCCCAAACTCTAAATCCCTAAACCCTAAACCCTAAACCCTGAAATCTAAATCCTAAGCCGTCGGTATGTAAGCCATGAAGCCCCAAAGCCAAACTCCGGAAATCCTATCGGCAAGGGTTTAGGGTTCAGTGTTGAGGATATCGGAGTTCGTGCGTGGTAAACATATTGGGTGGTTGTCAAAATTTTGGTCCCTCTGGGTCCTTATTATAATGCGGCACCTATTAATTAAGGGTACCCCAAAAGGGACCATAATTCTGACAACTACCCATATAGGGTTTAGGGTTTAGGGTTTAGGGTTTGGCATGGGGCGACATAAAATTAAGAAGTCCACCGATGGCATGCATATGAACCAGCACTCTGAATCTACTCATAACCCTGAACCCAAAACCCTAGATCCCATTAAGATTCATTTGGGTAGTTGTTAAAATTATGGTCCTTTTTGGGGTACCCTAAATAATAGGTGCCGTATTATAATAAGGACCCAAAAAGGGACCATGATTTTGACAACCACCCATTTGAATACAGGATGGCTGCGGCAATCCTTCTCTGCGAGCATTTGAACATCCACTGGATCGAAGGCAGCTCGTCGTGAAACTCGCGAGCAGGGTTGGGGTTTAGGGTGTCGGGTTTAGGGTTTAGGGTTTAGGGTCTAGGGTTTAGGGTTTAGGGTTTAGGGTTTAGGGTCTAGGGTTTAGGGTTTAGGGTTTAGGGTTTAGGGTTTAGGGGTCTCTCTCC